TAACTTAACCAAAATTTTACCCAAAAAGGGTGTTAATGAATCATCGAGGGGGATGCGTTTAAGCCCGTAAGGAAGTCACCTCCGGGAATAATCTAACCTTTGTGATTGGAGATCCCATGAAAAGGTTCAATATGGTAGGAACAACCCTCATTGCGTGACTCGTAATAGCATTATATTTTGTACTCATCCCTATGGTGATAATGCTATGATTGTGATGTTAGGAAGGATTTACCCTAAATGAGTATCGACGCGAGAATTCTCGCGAGGTGTGGGTCACATGCATCCTTGGAGGACTTACCTATGTAAGAGTTGTCATGAGATCGTGACTATGAGATTGGGCTATTTCCTAGAGGCTCTTACTAGAATCAAGATAAGAGCGTATGACCATTAACAGAGCTACCCACTTTGAACTAAGCCTAAATCGATACTGTGTGGAGCAGTTGAAATTTGGTTAAGGGACCTAATTCAAGACTTAGTCCATTATGACTCCCTCAAATGGAAATTGTTATCACTAAGTGAGGTTCAAGTCCAAAAGACATCTACACCTATTACGCAATATAATATTGTCACTATATACATATACATAATTATTTTGAAAATTTTAAAACTTGTGGGGGATTGTTGATAAGTTATAAAACTTTCAAATTAAATATTAAAAAATTTCAGTTTTTCATTTTAATTTTTAAGTTTTAAGTTTGAAAAAAAAAAATAAGTTATAAAACTTTCAAATTAAATATTAAAAAATTTCAGTTTTTCATTTTAATTTTTAAGTTTTAAGTTTTTCAGTTTTGTTTTTAATTTTAGATTAAATACATAATTTAATCCCATTAATATATTTGTAACATATGTTAAATTTTATTAATTTTCATAGTGAGATGGTTGAACTCTTCTACTATAAAAAGGGGTAGATTTTACATTCTTTGACACAACAACAAAATCAAACACAAAATACTCTCTACTTTCTTTTCATACTACTCTTTTGTCATTTTATCCTATTCTATAAACTTTTGGCAATTGATAAGAGCTTATAAAACAACTGATAACTGATGAAGATCAAGTACATAAGCAAGCCATGCCTGAATCTAGCATAAAAGAAGTCGAGCACTTCACATGTCAAAAATCTTGCATTAGTGAAAGGGTACGTGCCTCCCATTTTATTGCATTCCCTCTAAAGCTCACAATATTCAAGTAGACAAGGGATTTGACAAATTTCTTGAAATTTTCAAGAAATTAAATATCAATACTTCCTTCGTTAAAACTTTAGACTCTGTGGATCTCTACCAAGAATTCATGAAGGAGTTGTTGATAAAAGAAAAAGGAAAGATTGAATTAATTTGTGATTTGAAAATTTTAGGATTACAAGAACCCTAAACACTTGTGATTCTAGCTAGCTAGGCCCAATTTTGACATGATTAATAGGTGTTTGTGCCCCCAACAAAATTCTTGAACTATTCATTTGCTTATTCTTTGGGATCATCTTTGTCCAAGTTTGAGGGTCCTTTGTGCACCAATGGTCCAACATATCTTGCAAGTTTGGCCACTGCATTACATTAAAAAAAAAAAAAAAAAAAAGATTGAACCCCAATCTTGAGGATCCTCACTGTCCCGCCCCTAGAGTTTTGTAAGGGAGGTAAATCACGAGATGTGCCCCAACAGGCCAGGGAACAAGAGCTGTTTGTACACTGCGCCTACAAAGAGTCCAATTCCATGTTTCAGGAATCGAACCCTTATACTGCGGTTGCCAACAAAGCGTGAGATAACCTCACGATGTGCTTGCACCTAATCTTCATTAAAAGCTACCCTCTAATACTGTGTACTTCACTATGCGATCCCATAAAAGGGATGCAATTATTAATAATAAACACAGAAAAAGGACACTAAAAGATGATAAATGGTAGATTGCATAAAAATGGCATCAACATATGATATGGAGAATATTGATATCATTCATTAGGCTTATTTTTGTGCTCAAGACTATATGACTTTTAAGTTTGGGGTAGTCATCTCTGTAAGTCAATTGTGTGCTAGTTTCATTGCTTTCCGTTATTAAAAAAAGAAATCCAAGAAATTTAAATTTTGATAAATTCAAAAAATTGAAAACTTTGGAAAATAGAAAAAAAAATATGTTTGCGTATACTTAGTTGGATAGCCTTGCTGGTTATGGAAAATTTATGTTGGATATTGAGTTTGATAGTTTGATTAATGATATGTGACCTAATGGTACTATTTGTGCTTATTTTTATATTTTACTTATTCGCCCGAACACATATCCACTTTGTATTATCAGTTAGGTTTGAAAATTATTGTGTATTAGGGGATTCCTGAGTTAGTAGAAATAGGTTGTAAATTGTGCTAAAATGCCTAATACCGTACAAATAAATCACTTTACCCAATTGTGTGAATAAGTTCGTGGGTGGTCCGTGGTCGACTCAATAAATTTGATTATTTGGATAAGCTTTGATTTCATGTTAGATTTATGTGGAGTGATTTTGATTATCAAGTTGAAGTTCAGTATTGGCCTACACTGAAAATCAAATTTAAACTGCTAGTCTCAAAAAAGCATTGCACTAGTCATGACAAAAAATGACAAAACTTTCATATTTGTATGAACGAAAGCTACCTTATGAAAAAATTCAATGAATACACCAAATAAATATCCCAAAAAATAAATATAAGTAACATAAAGTCAAAATTGGGATAAAAACATGTTCATAAATAGAAGACAGACTCTGACTTGGACACTAAATATGCATATCTAAATAACATGTGTTTGACTAGATTAGTGAAACTTGAAGGATAGGAGACTCAAAATTGAGGAGAATTTTCATGTGTAAACTTAAATGCTTTTATTGATTCAATCCGACTAAAATTGAGTAGAAAGTAACGAGTCATTTGAGAGCAACCTTTAAAAATACCACCTTCGGAGAGGAACTATATATCGAGTTTAGGGCTATGTACATTTCACAAAAGGTAATGAAAATTTGACCAAAAAAGGTCCATGCCAAGAGAAAATGTTAAGTACAAAAATCACACAAAGACCATATATTAGGGACCATTTGCGCCAATATCCCCAAAGTTATGTACACAAGTCTTCATCAGATGAAAATAGTTAATTATCTATTACAGTGACATATATATTACACGTTACTTCGTTTTTAGGGTCTTTATATCTCCTATACTGAAAAAGAATAGAAAAGAGAAAAATTAAAAGAAAAGAAAAAAGAAACATAAAGATACATTAATGAAAGTTACCTTTCAAAAAGAGCTAGATGCCTTAACATAAAATTTATGAGTATTGTACTATCATAGTCGTTCTATGTAGTAAATTGTGTTGTCGAAAATTCGACTAACGCAATCAAAAGAAGAAATAAAATAAGCAGAAAAATAGACAGTAAATGAAGCGAGGTATACCAATAAAGTAAGCAAATCTCCTTAAGACAGATTTCGCCCCCCAATGAAGTGCAAACGGGATTATGGACGTCTGTCTCCCAAGATACAACGCTCCTTCCAAAGTCGATACTGCACAATACCAACCTTGTCGGTCGAACCAATGAATGATCGTACTTCAACGGAATAACGACGGAAGTATAAGAGATTTTTTATGAGCAGAATATGGAGATAGAAGAATTTAGAAATCAATTGAATTCGTAATTGATTTGGTGTGTCAAAAAACGAATCTGGGGGTCCCTATTTATAGAGATTGAAGTGTCTCATGGAACAGGTGTGTGACATTTCAGGAACTGGTGCACCACTTGGTCTGATTCGTCTTAGCCATTGGATCGCACTATTTTTATGATCTGACGGCCCAGATTGAACCATGAAGTGAAGTGTCCATTCATCATGCCTATTCACCAATTTCTGAACAGTCACAGCCATACGGATGCCACGCGTACACCTAACCGCCATGCAGGACGAAGGGACGCGACCTACCACTCGTTCGCCACCTAGAATGCCAACTCATCGAGCCTTGTGCTGCCACGTCATCGAACCACGAGTCCATTTCCGAAAACTATAAGGCTCCTCAGCTCCTCGCGACGATTGCGAAGTGCCAAGTGCGCCTCTAAAGCGCCCAATGCGTACTTTGCGACGTGCACGTGCCGGGACCGGGACCGGGACCGGGTCCGGGGAATGGTGCTAGTGGTGCGAAGCACCACTCTAGTGGTGATTAGCCTTTGGCTAGCTAAAGTTAGCCAAGTGGTAGGTAACATATTAAATTATATATTATTTACACAACCCACTATATAAACAAAACTATTTTCTTGTAAACTTTCGATGTGGGACTCCTTTCCATATAAAAACCACTTAAAATGGGCTTATCAACATATGGGCCTATATTGGAGACTTTTCCAATTCACTTAAATTAATTGCAATGACCCATATCATTAAATATTACATTTAATATTTTAAACCCAAATCAAACCCAAATCAAATTCAATTAATTCCAACAAATTGCCATATGTATATTATGTAGGATGATTACGATAGTGGGCGACTGTAAGTAGTATTATTCAAAATTAATAGTTGACATTCAATTGAGACATATAATATACTTTTAATTCCACAAAAATCGAGAACCTAAAATTTCTAATAAATTGTATGAACTTGAAACAGTATAAATTCACTTATCAAAGATCCAACACTAGCAAAAAATTAAAAATAATGTTATTTAATATTATTGGTGTTGATATCAGTCTAAATGGCAACACTGATGATATTAAATTACAAATTTAATTAACTATAATGAATTATGGTATATTAAATAGGAATAAGCTATTTGTACGGCACCCTTATAGATCGATGGAGCCTGCACCAATTAAAAAATGGCGCGATTCCCCTACACTCTGATGTGAGTGTGCTGTGAACCGAGCTACTATTCACATAGCCCTAAAGAATATCTCAAAAAAGGGCGAAAAAAAAAAAAAACTCCATTCTTTCCTTTCCTCTACGAAAGAAGAGAACAAGCACTCCTCTCACATGCGTAGGGGGTCACATCCAATTAATGCAGAACACCGAATAGCGTACACGTAACATATCCGAAATAAAAAATCAGCTACAAGAAATACTCAACCCTAACACATACTGCCCCTACTTTCCCTCGTACACACACTACACTGCCCCCAACACCCCACATTCAAAAATCCCCCATTACAAATGGCCACGCGCCACCGCTTCTTACACCTCCTCCTCATCTGTCTTCTTTCCGTTTCCTCGGCCGATGACTCCGCCGCCATGTCCAAGCTCCTCTCCTCCCTCTCCCCCACGCCCTCCGGCTGGTCAGCCACCACAAGCTTCTGCACCTGGTCTGGTGTCAACTGTGATAGCACCAACTCCTTTGTCACCTCCATAGATATCAACTCCCAGTCTCTCTCCGGCACCCTCCCAACTGAACTCAACCAGCTCTCCCATCTCAAAACTCTTGCTGTACAAAAGAACTCTTTAAGGGGTACATTGCCTTCCTTTGCCAATATGTCTTCTCTTGAGCAAATCTTCCTTGACTTTAATGATTTCACTACCATCCCACAAAGTTTCCTTCTAGGCTGTACAAATCTTCGGACATTTAGTATAAGTGAGAATATCCACCTCAATCCATGGCAAATCCCGTTGTATTTAACTGAAAGTACAAGTCTTGCCACTTTTTCTGCTAGTAATGCGAGTATTACTGGGGTGATCCCGGATATATTTGATTCGTTTCCTAGTCTCCAGAATTTGAGCTTGTCTTACAATAATTTGAATGGATCTTTGCCGGGATCTTTGGGTAGCTCTGAGATACTGAATTTGTGGTTGAACAATCAAGAGCAAGGGTTGTCTGGGAGAATTAGTGTTTTATCCTCCATGACTCAAGCTTCCCAGGTTTGGTTACATGCTAATGCATTTTCGGGGCCGATTCCAGATTTGTCGAATTGTACGAATCTGTTTGATTTGCAGCTGAGGGATAATCAGTTTACGGGGATGGTGCCACCTTCTTTGATGAGTCTCCCTAAGCTTGTTAACATTAGTTTACAGAATAATAAGTTGCAAGGACCTTATCCTCAGTTTTCGAGCTCGGTTCAGGTTACAATTAGGAGTACTAATAGCTTTTGTAAGGATGCTCCAGGCCCCTGTGATCCACAAGTCACTGCACTTCTTGATGTTGCTGGTGGTTTTGGGTATCCAATGTCTTTGGCCGATGCTTGGAAAGGCAATGATGCTTGCAATGATTGGAGGTTCATTACTTGCGATTCGCAGGGGAAAAATGTGACCACAGTGAACATGGGAAAGCAGGGCTTTTCAGGTACAATTTCGCCCGCCTTTGCGAATCTTACTTCTCTGAGGAGTTTAATTTTGAATGATAATGATCTCACTGGTTCAATCCCAAGTGCTTTGACTGCTTTGCCTCAGCTTCAGAATCTTGATTTGTCTAATAATAATTTGTCTGGGCCTATCCCATTGTTTCCTGCTAGTCTCAAGTCTAATTATTCTGGTAATTTGTTACTTGGGAAAAATGTGAGTAGTGGCGGTGGAGGAAGTGGTGGAGCGCCAGGGTCTGGACTAGGTTCCGGCTCCCAAAGTGGAAGCCCAACGGGGTCTTCAAAAGGGTCCTCTGTTTCGGCTGGTATGGTTGCTGGTCTGGTTATAGCTGTTGTGGCATTCATTGGAGTTTTATTGTTTGTATTTTATAAATGCTATGTCAGGCGGCGACGACAAAAGGGAGTTGAAAGGGTTGATGAGGGCCCTAAGCAAAGCATGGAAATGGCTAAGACTAACCTGACAAATGAAGTGAATGGATACGCTGAAGCCAGAAATGAGTTACAGAGCCAGAGCAGTGGTGATCATCGTGAAATTCCTATATTTGAAGGTGGAAATGTTGCTATTTCAATGGAACTTCTTCGACAAGTGACCAACAATTTCAGTGAAGAGAATATATTGGGTAGAGGAGGATTTGGAGTAGTTTACAAGGGTGAATTTAATGATGGTACTAGAATTGCTGTAAAGAGAATGGAATCTGGAGCAATGGGAACAAAAGGAATGAATGAGTTCCAAGCAGAAATTGCAGTGCTTACTAAAGTTAGGCACCGGCATTTGGTTGCCCTTCTTGGATACTGTATTAATGGAAACGAGAGGCTTTTGGTATACGAGTACATGCCAAGGGGAACTTTAGCTCAGCATTTGTTTGAATGGCAGGAACGTGGCTATCAGCCTCTCACTTGGAAACAGAGGGTTACAATAGCGTTGGATGTGGCTAGGGGAGTCGAGTATCTTCACAGCTTGGCCCAACAAAGTTTCATCCATAGAGATTTGAAACCATCAAACATACTTCTTTCAGACGACATGAGGGCGAAGGTTGCAGATTTTGGATTGGTAAGAAATGCACCTGATGGAAAGTATTCCGTAGAGACACGGTTGGCCGGAACATTCGGGTATCTTGCACCTGAGTATGCTGGTGAGTATTGCCGATATGTGACATTATCCGATGAAATTATATTTACTAACGTAGCTGCAAATCATGCATAAAATCCCTAAATGGACTAGTTCTTTGATGCATAATGACAACATAGAAAATTACAATTGAGTAGTGCAATTTTGTTTTGCTGATCTGTTCTTCGGTTATGCTTTGGTAGTTTCGATCTTGAAATTATTACACTGGTGTCTTTTTTTCCACCTTGATGTAAATACGATTGAGATTATTAGCTTATGTTTTAATCCTGTATTGAGATTTAGAGCATTGTGGATCCATGGATGGTCAAGTATGAATTTGATCCTCGGCATTTGAAAAAGCTTGATTGAATCAATTTTAGTTCTCGTCTTTGTAGCGATTAGCGAATGAATACGAATCTCACGGCTTCCATTTTCTATGTTTCCAACAGCCACAGGAAGAGTGACAACAAAAGTTGATGTCTATGCATTTGGAGTTGTTTTAATGGAGATAATCACAGGTAGAAGAGCACTTGATGAGACAATGCCAGATGAGAGGTCTCATCTGGTCACATGGTTCCGTAGAGTCCTTATCAACAAAGACAACCTTCGAAAGGCCATTGACTCGATTCTTGATCCTGATGACGAAACTTACGAGAGTATATGCAAAGTTGCTGAGTTGGCAGGTCATTGCACAGCCCGCGAGCCATTCCAGAGACCCGACATGGGACATGCGGTCAATATCCTGGGACCTCTAGTCGAGGAATGGAAACCATCTAAGCATGAAGAAGAGGAAGGTTATGGCATTGATCAACACATGAGTCTTCCTCAAGCCCTTCAGAGATGGCAAGCTGATGAAGGCACGTCGAGAATGTTTGACGATTTCTCTTACAGCCATACGCAGTCGAGCATTCCCTCGAAACCTTCAGGGTTCGCAGATTCTTTTAGTTCAACGGACTGTAGATGATCCTTCAAAAACAAATTTGGATCACATCGTATCGAAACTGGTACACCAAAACGTAACGTCTCACACGGTCGAGTCTTTCTTGATTGTTGAAGATTGTATTTAATTTTTTCTTTTCCCACTCTATTTGTACTTATATTCTTTCGCTGATAAATTAATATAACAAATTTGAGTTGGGAGACAGTTGTTTGATTCATTTAATGTTTTCATAAACTGTTTAAATTATAAATATATAGAAATGAATGGTAAATAAGTGGATAGTACTGAAAAATGATTTTGACCCAAATTGCGTTTTGTTATTATTGTTGTTGTTGTAATTACGGGATAGGAATTAATAGATGCAATGGACATTCTAATAAGCCTCCGTTAAATCATATTTTATTTTCTTCTCTTTTATTTTCAATTACACAATCTTTCATAAAATAATATTACATGTAAATCGAAAATTTTTACTTTTTTTTTCAATCACTTATTTTTTAGAAAAAATATTATTTCTAGAAAATGGGGCCAAACGGATGCTAAATATGCAAATTGCCTTTAATAATTGAAATTCTAACACAATACCTCCATAGAAAATACTTAGGTAGTGTTTGATTGGAGGTGGAATTTTATGGAAAATGGAATTGGAATTTCACCTTCCAATTTAATAGTGTTTGATAGTATTTTAATGGCCTAGAATTGCATTTCCATGTTTTGTGCCACATCAGTCCAATTCCACCAACTCTAGGTTACTGTAGCGTTTTTTCAATTTTTTTTGAATTTTTTTTTTGGTTGGCAATTAATACAAATTCTAAGAATTATTGTAAAAAAATATATTTATTTTCCTTTAATTGACAATTTTTATGTAAAATAAAGCCAAACGAACATAAAAAGATAGATGATTTTCTTGAAATTTTTTTGTTTTGTTTTGTTTTTTTTGTTTTGTTTTGTTTTGGCAATGGAAACAAATTTCATCCCTAATACCAGTAAATTCTATCCCTTTAATTGACAATTTTTATGTAAAACAAAGTCAAACAGACATAAAAAAATACTTTAATTTAAACATTTTTCACGTGGAAAATTATATCAATCAAACACAATAATTTACAATTTCCAGGAAAATAATTTCCTATCAATTCAATTCTCTGAAATTCATTTTCTTTCCACCAAAATTTCACATTTGCAATCAAACGGACTCTTATTTCTTGGCCAACAGAAATGTGATATTTCCTCCTTTTATGCCAGCTAGAAAAGGATAAATGAGGACAAAAAAATGTTCGCAAACTTAAATATACTTGCTGTAACCAAGCTGGCTAAGCTGGAAAAATATATTTTTTGGTTTATTTTCAGTAAATTTCTTTAATTAGATATGGGAAATTTTCAGTAGGGGTCCAAACGTATTGAAATATAGCAAATAGGTCTTCAACCTATTAATCACCAACATTTTATATTTGTTGCACTCAAGCCCTTAATAGACAATTAAAAACTCCAATTTGTATTAAGAAGACAATTTTACTCTTATCTTTTGTTAAAGAGAAAAATATAAATATAAAAGGGTAAATTTTTAATTGGGAATCGGGGATGACAATGGGAGACTGGGTGGGATCTATTTTTTCTCTTCGTTAGTTTATTTATTTTTTGTTTAACTAAACTTAAAAGTAAATTCATATTTTAGACAAAAAAAAGAGTTATAAATTATAAAATCGCAAGAATAAATATTGTCGACTAAGGACTCAAATATTAAAAAAGCGATTGTCGGCAACCGAGTTGCTAGTATATTAGGTTTGAGACCTACTTACTACATTTTCGACAAGTTAGAGACCCGAGCTACAATTATATTTATTTTATTTTATTTTTTTGTGGGGTTTATAAATGTTGAAGTCATCTCTCACTCACATGGTGGTTACTGATTAGGCAAAAAGTATTCACAAAAGGCATGTTGGGGAAGAAAAATTGACCCTACATTATTGAGGAACACTTGTGTTGTGGGCCCATGTTCCTCCAAATTTAAGGCTGTTTTGTTAAGAATTATTGCTTCGGATACGTAGGGTAACCAAAAGTAGTTAATTTAATAGGAAGGGTAATGACAGTTTAAGAAAGGTATCAAGATTTTTGACATGTAAAGAAAAAAATATATATACGATATTCTATTTTATATGTTGCATCTCTTTAGATGTGGGGTCGTTGCGATTTATTAAAAAATTGGACTCAAAAAAGAAAATCTTGATTTCAATGAGAATTTACGTCAAGATAACATTGTCTTTCAGTGGTCGGCAATGGATATATTCAATGTTGTTTTCACTTGATGTTGCAAGTAAGATTGCCATAATAGTTTTCCAATTAACTATTTTCTCTCTCTTTCCCTTAGCCTACCACTGTCCAGTAATTTGTTGGCCACCAACCTTTATTTTCAATCATAATTAAGCTACGATTCTCGCCAACCAACCTATTGACCAAGCCAAAAACCTTATTCTTTTGGATTCAAAAACAATAGAATGATTTCTGAATCAAGGTTTTTCTTTCCATTTTTCATTTGAGGTAAATTCGAAATTATTTGAATTGAGTAATCGTCAATTATTGACACTGATAATCTGAAGTAAATCAGATTGTAAATCTTCAATGACAAAAAAAATTCAAATTATTTTTAAATCATCACGTGACTTTCACATATTTAACTTCATAAAAATACTTCTCGACTTGGACTGCCGGTTAAAAGAAAAAAAAATGACTCGGTACTTGTTTCTAGGATGGTAATGTGAAAATCGAACAAAGATTTTCAATAATTTCTTTAGTTTGGGAAATATAGTTAAAGATACACCGAATAACTAATACAATTTTGATTAAGAAGAAATTGTTCATTTCCAGACAATTTAGCTCCATCAAGATCGTACACTTTTATCGGTTGTTTCCAACGGAAAGTTATGTAGAAAAAAGAACTCAATCACTAACGAGTAAAGCACTTTTTTTTTGTTGAATATATGTGATTCCATCCTTCTTTCATTTTTCTCTTTCCATTAGAACTTATCGTGGATAATGCTTTACAAATTTATATATTATTTATAAATTTTATCAAATGGAGGATTTTTAGTTTTTGCATTACTTATTTTTGTACAATGCAGCTGTATGTAGTAGTACACAATCATAAAGCATTTGCTGCTAAAATAATATGACATGTGGAGTAGTTAAGAACACCAATTAATATACTAAAATTTTAAATTTTCTTTTTATTAAAAGGTAAAATGATTATTGATTGCAATTTTAGACGTTGTCACATCTTTGTTAAAGTATATTCTTAATCATTGAACAGAAAGTGTAACTCTCATTATTGTGTCAAATAATAATTATTCAAGACCTGAATTTTATTTGAAAACTAATATTTTTATAAAGTTATTATAATCATTGGTCGGTTAAATAGATATTTTATTTTTGTTGACCAAGGCTTAGGTGGATTTAGATATCCAAAATTTTTAAATATAATTTAACTTTAAATTGGAAGGACAGGTGGCTAGATCTCAAAAAAATTTCAATTATATTGAAATATTCTCCTAGATAAAGTTATTTTTTACATCCTTATTTACTTTCTATGAGTTGACAAAAAATCATTTATCAAATCAAGTTTGCTCAAAGAATAATGCTATTTAATATCATTGGTGCTACAACACTAGTGTAGATGGTGTTAGGTGACATTTTCAATGAAAAGTAGAATTAAATTATTCATTTAATTATATATCTCCTTCAATGTCATATTAGTGTCACTTAGACTACTATTTTAACACCAATTGTGCTTAATATCATTATTTTTATATAGGGACGAACGCAGACATTTTATATTGGGGGTCACAATCAAACTTTTAAAAACAGTGACGAAATTTTTTGTTTTACTTTTATATTAGGGCGTGAGGTGACATATTCAATGAAAAGTAGAATTAATTGATTCATTTAATTATACATCTCCTTTAATGTCACATAAGTGTCACTTAAACTACTATTTTAACACCAATTGTGCTTAATATCATTATTTTTATATAGGGACGGACTTTTAAAAACAGTGACGAAATTTTTTTTATTACTTTATATGAGTTATGAACTATTATACTACTTTTTCATTTTGATTATTTTTACATCTAAAAAAAATTTATATATAAAAAAATCGATTACTTTTAGGATTTTTTTTATTTGTTATTTTTTCCTCTTAATCAAATAATTTTTTTTAAAATAATCTAATAGATTTCCTAATAAAATTTTTGACGTTATTTGAAAAAAATTAATTGATTGAGAGGAAAAATGTAACAATAATTTAAAAAATCCTAAAAATGATTGAATTTTTTTTTATATGTAAATTTTTTTAGGTAATAATCAAGATGAAAAAATTGTATAACAATTTATAATCCCTATGAAGTAATAAAAAATTTATTTAGAATTTTTACGTCCAATAAATAAATAAATTTTGACGTCATACCATATATAAAATTTCCTAATAAAATGATGTAAATTATATTAAAAAAATTTCGAGCAAAAATAATAAATATTAATAAAATAAATGATTTTTTTTTCCAAAAAAGGCGAGTTGTACGTCTCTTTTTAGCATACACATTTGACGTACGTTTAACTAGTTTTGATATTCATTTAGATCATTCGATATATTTATAATATAGTTCTTGAAATGAGTTTCGAGAGGATATAAAAGATTTATGGATACGGCTAGCATATAATCGTCCAAGAACTTTTTAACATTAACTTGTTATCGAAATTTTCGAACTATTAGTTTGGAACGACCTAATTTGATGCGTCGTAACATTTACTACGATTGGTCATTTCGCACACTATTAACGACATGAAATGTTAGGCAGCGAGTACTTTAAAATGATATTATAAATGTAATATTTCAATTTCATTTAATATTTCATAGCGAGCCCAAAAACTAAGACCCAAAAAAAAAATTGAAAAAATTAGAGGGTCAAGTGACCCTATGGGATCCCCCTTGGGTCCGCCCCTGTTTTTATATAAAGAATAATATCATTTAGCACCGCTGATACTACCACGCCCATGTAGATGGCTTTAGGTGATAAAAATATAGCATTAAGTTATTAATTTAATTATACATCTCATTTAATGTAAGATTAGTGCTACTTATGTTTTAATACTAATAGTGTTAAATATCATTACTTTTATTACTCCACGTCATTAAATGATATGACTTTGTC